AGAGCCACAAATAAGTAAGGACCTTGGGAGGTTTCGCCTCGGCCCGCCTTACCTAGGACAGACACTAGAGGGCGCTCGGCGCTCAGAAGCTGCGCGCTTCCAGGTCCCAGGGCGCAAGCGTCGGGCTGCCCGGAACCGAACCCTTTGGGTCTGGTTGTTGCGGAACTAAAGACTTTGGAACAAACAGGAGGGAACAGCAAGTGGCCGTATGGAGGCCGGATTCTCTTCTGTTTACATTTATTAATGTATCTACGTCATTTAATTGCAATACACACCCAGTTATCACCCTTTCCATTAACACAACAGTTTTAGTACAGAAAACTAAAGAGAATGCAATATAACCAACAGCGACACGCTCCTATCTGGGAAAACAAAACAGGTTAACCCAGCCACTCCCAGGCTGAGGCAGGAGAACCAAAAATCTAGGCCAAGGGCCAGGGATTCAGTTCAGTGGCACTGTGCCTGCCTCGCAAGCACAAGGTCCTGAGTTTGATCTCCAGTATCAAAAAAAAGGCTAAATGACTCAATTTAAGATCAGACAACTGCTCGGAGCAAGCATTTCCCCCCAAGAAGACACACACGTGGTTAGAAAGCACACGAAAAGATCGCCAGCATCACAAGTCGGTAGAGCGCTCCCCGTCGAAACCATGACAACAGCCGAGCGGGGTGGTGCATGCCTGTCACCCTAGCACTCGGGAGGCTGAGGCAGGAGGATCGCTGTGAGTTCGAGACCAACCTGGGCTGCACAGTGAGTCCCAGGTCAGTCTCAACTGCACAGTGAGACCCTGTCTCAAAAAAACGAAAAAAGAAAAAAGAAAGAAAGAAACCATAACAAGAAAGCCGTTCACTCCTGCTAGTGCGGTTATAAACAGAACATCAGCAAGGGCGGCTGGCGCTGCTGTTAGATTAGGCACTCACCTAGCATTCCTGAGACCCCAGGTTCAATTTCCCAGCCCTCGGGATACAAATAAGCAAACTTCCTGACCATAAAACACGGGTGTGGGGGCGCACGCCTGTCACCCCAGCACTCAGGAAGCTGAGGCAGGAGGATTGCCCAGAGTTCAAGGCCAGCCTGGGCTACATGGTGAGACCCTGTCTCAAAAAACCAAAATTAAAATGATAATAATAATGAAAGACCATACAGCAAGTATAAGCAAGGAGGTGGGGAAGTCAGAACCTGCATCTATGGCTGTAAGACCCAAAGTTGTCCTCATAACTGTGTACCCTCCTGGTCCCTGAATGGTCACAGCAGAATCGTGTGTAGCAGCCGAAAAGTGGGAATAATCCAAATGTCTACATTCGGTCGGTGAGTGAATGAACCCAGTGAGGCCTCCCCGTGGGAATGGGATATGTTCTCAGTGGAGAGGACGGACGTGCTGACACCTTACAGCACGAGAGAGGCCTGCGAAGGCAGCCAGTTCCAGACGGGCGCAGACCGCACCGTCCCATTTCTATTACGCGTCAGGCCGAGTTTGTTGAGACTTGCGGTGGACACAGAATTTCTTTCCTGGATGACGAAAACACCCTAGCATACATGCACACCCGTGTTTATAGCTAGTTTTTTTGTTTGTTTGTTTCCTGGTACCAGGGATCGAACTCGGGTCCTTGCCCTTGCGAGGCAGGCGGGGGCACCACTGAGCTACATCCCCGGCCCCGTAACAGCTAAATCTTGGGAGCGGCTTCTATGCCCACCAACAACTGGATGGATAAAGAAAATGTGTTACACACAGTGGAGGACGACGCTTCCATAAAGGGCAGACTCGAAGCGTTCGGGAAAACGGATGCATCTTGAGACTATAAAATTAAGAGAAATAAATCAGACACACGGCTTAAATATCACATGGCTTCTCTTATATGGGAAATCCAAAGTGTAAATAAAGAGCAAAATGAAAGAGAGGTAATGGGAAGTAGGGAGATTCGGAAGAAAAAATACTTTTTTCAATTTTAAAAAATACACAGGAAAGGGCTGGGGATGTAGCTCAGTGGTTCCGCCCCCTGCCTCGCAAGCGCAAGGACCCGAGTTCGATCCCCGGTACAAAAAAAAAAAAAAAAAAAAAAAACAGGAAAAATGTTTCACAAGGTCCTGAGTTCGGTCCCCGGTACAAAAAAAAAAAAAAAGGAAAAATGTTTCACAAGGTCCTGAGTTCGGTCCCCGGTACAAAAAAAAAAAAAAAGGAAAAATGTTTCACAAGGTCCTGAGTTCGGTCCCCGGTACAAAAAAAAAAAAAAAGGAAAAATGTTTCACAAGGTCCTGAGTTCGGTCCCCGGTACAAAAAAAAAAAAAAAGGAAAAATGTTTCACAAGGTCCTGAGTTCGGTCCCCGGTACAAAAAAAAAAAAAAAGGAAAAATGTTTCACAAGGTCCTGAGTTCGGTCCCCGGTACAAAAAAAAAAAAAAAGGAAAAATGTTTCACAAGGTCCTGAGTTCGGTCCCCGGTACAAAAAAAAAAAAAAAGGAAAAATGTTTCACAAGGTCCTGAGTTCGGTCCCCGGTACAAAAAAAAAAAAAAAGGAAAAATGTTTCACAAGGTCCTGAGTTCGGTCCCCGGTACAAAAAAAAAAAAAAAGGAAAAATGTTTCACAAGGTCCTGAGTTCGGTCCCCGGTACAAAAAAAAAAAAAAAGGAAAAATGTTTCACAAGGTCCTGAGTTCGGTCCCCGGTACAAAAAAAAAAAAAAAGGAAAAATGTTTCACAAGGTCCTGAGTTCGGTCCCCGGTACAAAAAAAAAAAAAAAGGAAAAATGTTTCACAAGGTCCTGAGTTCGGTCCCCGGTACAAAAAAAAAAAAAAAGGAAAAATGTTTCACAAGGTCCTGAGTTCGGTCCCCGGTACAAAAAAAAAAAAAAAGGAAAAATGTTTCACAAGGTCCTGAGTTCGGTCCCCGGTACAAAAAAAAAAAAAAAGGAAAAATGTTTCACAAGGTCCTGAGTTCGGTCCCCGGTACAAAAAAAAAAAAAAAGGAAAAATGTTTCACAAGGTCCTGAGTTCGGTCCCCGGTACAAAAAAAAAAAAAAAGGAAAAATGTTTCACAAGGTCCTGAGTTCGGTCCCCGGTACAAAAAAAAAAAAAAAGGAAAAATGTTTCACAAGGTCCTGAGTTCGGTCCCCGGTACAAAAAAAAAAAAAAAGGAAAAATGTTTCACAAGGTCCTGAGTTCGGTCCCCGGTACAAAAAAAAAAAAAAAGGAAAAATGTTTCACAAGGTCCTGAGTTCGGTCCCCGGTACAAAAAAAAAAAAAAAGGAAAAATGTTTCACAAGGTCCTGAGTTCGGTCCCCGGTACAAAAAAAAAAAAAAAGGAAAAATGTTTCACAAGGTCCTGAGTTCGGTCCCCGGTACAAAAAAAAAAAAAAAGGAAAAATGTTTCACAAGGTCCTGAGTTCGGTCCCCGGTACAAAAAAAAAAAAAAAGGAAAAATGTTTCACAAGGTCCTGAGTTCGGTCCCCGGTACAAAAAAAAAAAAAAAGGAAAAATGTTTCACAAGGTCCTGAGTTCGGTCCCCGGTACAAAAAAAAAAAAAAAGGAAAAATGTTTCACAAGGTCCTGAGTTCGGTCCCCGGTACAAAAAAAAAAAAAAAGGAAAAATGTTTCACAAGGTCCTGAGTTCGGTCCCCGGTACAAAAAAAAAAAAAAAGGAAAAATGTTTCACAAGGTCCTGAGTTCGGTCCCCGGTACAAAAAAAAAAAAAAAGGAAAAATGTTTCACAAGGTCCTGAGTTCGGTCCCCGGTACAAAAAAAAAAAAAAAGGAAAAATGTTTCACAAGGTCCTGAGTTCGGTCCCCGGTACAAAAAAAAAAAAAAAGGAAAAATGTTTCACAAGGTCCTGAGTTCGGTCCCCGGTACAAAAAAAAAAAAAAAGGAAAAATGTTTCACAAGGTCCTGAGTTCGGTCCCCGGTACAAAAAAAAAAAAAAAGGAAAAATGTTTCACAAGGTCCTGAGTTCGGTCCCCGGTACAAAAAAAAAAAAAAAGGAAAAATGTTTCACAAGGTCCTGAGTTCGGTCCCCGGTACAAAAAATAAAAATAAAAATAAAAATAAACACACGAGATGGGAGAAGAGGGGCAGGAAAGGGGATGAAAAAATAATCAAGATGTGCTATGTCCAAATTGTGTTTGCTCAGTAAAAAGAAAACATCTCAGAATTAGATAGTGGTGTAGCTGGACAGTCTTGTGACTACACTAAAAACCACGGAATCAAGACAGGTGTGGTGGTGCACGCCTGGGATGCCGCACTGCGGAGGCTGAGGCAGGAGGATCGGTTCCGCCGCCCGCCTCAGGGTCTTCTCCTCCGCCCGCTCCCCTCCCGCTTTCGTTCGTTTGCGCAGGCGTCAGATCCTCCTCCAGTGGAAACAGATGGATTGGTAATTGACTGATTTAAGTACTGGAGATGAAACCCAAGCCCAGTCTAGGATGCCAGAGACCCCGCCCCGCCATAAACACCTCCCCGCCTTCTGTCTGTTGTTTCCAGGCTGGTCCCCTAGTTACTTCCTGTGTCTCTGCACGACCTTGTGATCTTGTACTCTAGCGTTCGGACAGACGAGCCCCACGTTAAGACTGAATTACAAACAGGGTTTTTTGCAGATTGCTCTCCAAACTCTCTTTTATTTGAAGAAGTGCAGCCAGGTGTGGTGAAGCATACCGGTAATCCTAGCTCCCTGGGAGGCTGAGGCAGGAGGATTGCATTTTTGAGCTCACCTGGGCAGTTTCGCAATTTAAGGAGACCCTGTCTTAAAAAATAAAAAGGGCTGGGGATGTAGCTCAGTGCAAAAGCCCTGGGTTCAATCCCCAGTGCAGCTAAACAACCCAGAAGTCAAGGGGACAAGGGCTGCTCGGCAGAGGAGGGCGAGGCGACCTCACCTTGTGGCCAAGGGACACCCGAGTTTCGGCGCCTGTGCCCGCGGCAGCCGGCAGGGGGCAG